ATTTACATTGCAATGAAGCTCACGTTGCTTGATGAGCCCTGAGCCACGGAAGTCTCTGATGCACAAAGCATGTATCTTCTGCCACAAGGCACTTACTTTTTAACTGAAGAATTGGGTAAAATCTTAGGGATTATCCTTCCCTTTATCTCTTACCTGCTAGCACTAGTCAGTAAACTCATGGTCGTCCCAAGAAATATTGGTAAGTGGGTTAAATAGAAAATCACGTAGATAAGACATATTTACAGTGCAGATGATTAAACCCAGCAACAGGTGATCTGATTCATTAGCTATCAGGGTTATGTAGAATAAAGCACAAGCGGGTAACTCATTCTCACCCACCACTACTATGGCTAAAATTGAAAGGATAAGCAATACTAAATATTAAGGCCAATGTGGATGAAGTGTGATTCTTACACTCTGTGAAAATATCAATTGGTACAACTGATTTAGAAAACTTGCATTATATATGAACGCTGAACATCACCCACTTCGTGATCCAACAATGCCAAATGTTCACTCCTTATCATATACCCAACAAAACAGTTCACAAAGGTGCCTCCAAAAATGTACATGGCAGGGCCAGAGCAATAGTACAGTGGGTAGGGCATTTGCCTTGCACATGGTCTGCCCGGGTTCAATCCCTGTCATTCTGTATGGTCCCTTGAGCAGCTCCAGGAGTAATTCTTAAATGCAGAGCCAGGAGTAACCCCTGAGCAACACTGGGTGCGACTCAAAATAGCCAAAAATAAATAAATAGAGCAATGTGAAAACAGGGAGCCTTTAAAAAAAATTTTACATGGCAGTGGGTTCAGAAAGGGAAGGAAAACAGAACCATGAGTGTGTTCACATAGTAAAATCCATCTGTTATGTTCTTGGAAGTCTTTACTCACATCCCACAAGAAAAAACTGAATAAAGTGATTTTCAACAACTGTTGGTCCAGAATTAAAGTAACAGGAAAAATTGCCACCTGAAAATCTGTAGAGAAGTGTGACTGTGGAGAATCACAGTCTGACCAGGAGCAGAAGATTCAATATTCAGGAACTGGCAGTGTTTGCCTTGCACGTGGCCAACCCAACCGACCCGGGTTCGATTCCTCTGCTTCCCTTGGAGAGGCCGGCAAGTTACCAAGAGTATCTCTCCCACACGGCAGAGCCTGGCAAGCTACCCGTGACATATTCAATATGCCAAACACAGTAATAACAAGTCTCACAATAGAGACATTACTCGAGCAAATCGATGAACAATGGGAGGACAGAACTAGCTTGATAATTATAAATTTCTGTGGAAAGACCAGGGAGATGGTTCGGGATCTGGAGTTCCTGTGTCACATATGGAAGCCCCAGGTTCAGTCTCCAGTAGTGCATGGTCCCCGACACTGTTAGGAGTGACTCATAAGCACTACCCCAGTAGTGACCCTGGAGCACTTCCCGGTGTTGTCAAAAAAATAAACAAAAAATCTTTGGCGTGAGGGAAGGTCCACTTTTAAGGGTGCACACTTTCTAGAGTTCTAGCTCATAAAAATTCCTGACTAAAGTAAAGAAGGGGGGGAGGGAATCGCTCATGCTTCGTGGGAAAGAACTAGCACTAGCACTATCACCCCGTTGTTCATTGATTTGCTCGAGCTGGCACCAGTAAAGTCTCCATTCATCCCTATCACATGCTAGTGTAGCCCGATGGCATATTGGGAGCTCTTTCATGGTCAGGGGAATGAGGACCATCATTGTTACTGTTTTTGGCATATCAAATACGCACGGGTAGATTGCCAGGCTCTGCCCTGTGGGCGGGATACTCTCAGTAGCTTTCCAGGCTCTCCAAGAAGGATGGAGGCTTTTGGGGCAGCCTCTAATCACCTTTTTGGTATTCCCAGTCAGGCATATATGTGAGCAGGAGACTCTCGGTATCCTGCTGGGTTCTCTGACAGTGAGAACGAGACAATAAAAGGTCACATGGCTGCCAATGTGGCCGCACGTTTCCGGGAGTTTGGTTTTATAGTCTCTGGATCTGGCCATTGATGGGGTTACACGGCAGTTGGTGGGTGAAACTGTCTAGCTACTGGAAGATGGGCATCTGGGTGAAGGAGGCCCAGTCCCGAACTGAGCAGGCTTGGAGATCTCAGCCCCGGGTTCCATACACCTGGGTTCCTCTGCCAGTTCCTTCATGTGTGAGGCCCATCCTAGTGTGTGGAGAATGGTCTCAGCATGACTGTGGCTAGGTCCTGGAGGTTTCCAGCTGCCGGGGCTCTGCTCAGGGTGGAGAGGGAAACTTAACCCACCCACCCCCCTCCAAGGGCCCTCAGTGAGGACAGCCAGACGTGGGGGCAGGAGACTCTGTTTTGTTCTCTTCCAGGAGCTTTGTTTTATAGTCTCTGGATCGTGGCCATTGATGGGGTTACACGGCAGTTGGTGGGTGTAACTATCTAGCTACTGGAAGATGAGGATCTGGAGGAGGCAGGACAGTAAAATAATTATTCATTCTGAAATATGCCAGAGGGAAAGAATTATCCATGTATTCTATTCTGTCCATGCACTCTTCAGTCTGCCCTCAGTGGTAACTTCATTACCAGAGAGAACCTGGAGAGTAAGGGACTGGCAAAGGGCAGAATAGTCAATTCCCTCTTTAGCTTCTCTGTCTCAACTCAAGGGGTGGGGATCAAAAAGCTGAAAAGAATTTGAGGACATTACAGCCCAGGATCACAGACCCAATGAAACGTGGAAATCTATTCTACTGAAGTGAGGTACCTTAGTTCCTTATCTTATGCCTTATAGATCAACAGGCCTCCTTCCTAATTAAAGGGGGAACTACATCTGAAAGAATATCAAGGCTCAGATTCTATCAAAGAAGGGGATTTGAGGAAAACCCAAAAATAATTTTTAAATGGCACCAGAAGTGTCAACAAATGGTGCTGGAACAATAAGACAGCTACATAAAAAATTAAAATTAAACTCTTTCTTTTAGTTTATTAAATCTCTCTCCCCCGTCCCCCCCCCCCCCAAGCATACGAGCATCTAATCTTCGATAAGGGGGCAAGAAAAGTGAAGTGGAGCAGGGAAAGCCTCTTTAACAAATTATGCTGGCAAAACTAGACGGCTATATGCAAAAAAATGGGCTCAGATCTCTGCCTAACTCCATGTACAAAAGTAAGATCTAAGTGGATTAAAGACCTCAACATCAGACCGGAATCTATAAGATACATTGAGGAAAATGTTGGCAAAACCCTTCATGACATAGAAGCTAATAGTGTCTTCAAAGATGTCACACCACTGGCCAAACAAGTGAAAACAGAGATAGACAAATGGGACTATCTTAAACTAAGAAGCTTCTGCACCTCAAAAGAAACAGTGACCAAAATACAAAGACAGTCTACAGAATGGGAAAGGATATTCACCAACTACACATCTGATAAGGGGTTAATTTCAAGGATATACAAAATACTGGTTCAACTCCACAAAAAGAAAACATTCAACCCCATCAAAAAATGGGGAGATGAAATGAATAGAAATTTTGACAAAGAAGAAATCCGAATGGCTAAAAGACACATGAGAAAATGTTCCACATCATTAATCATCAGAGAGATGCAGATCAAAACCACAATGAGCTATCACCTCACACCGCAGAGACTGGCCCATATCCACAAGAACAAAAGCAACCGGTGCTGGCGCGGATGTGGTGAGAAAGGGACACTCCTTCACTGTTGGTGGGAATGCCGACTGGTTCAGTCCTTTTGGAAAACAGTATGGATGCTTCTCAAAAAACTAGAAATTGAGCTCCCATTTGACCCAGCAATACCACTCCTGGGAATATATCCCAGAGAGGCAAAAAAGTATAGCCGAAGTGACATCTGCAATTGTCTGTTTATTGCAGCACTCTTTACAATAGCCAGAATCTGGAAAAAACCTGAGTGCCCGAGAACAGATGACTGGTTAAAGAAACTTTGGTACATTTACACAATGGAGTACTATGTAGATGTTAGAAAAGACGAAGTCATGAAATTTACATACAAGTGGTACTACATGGAAAGTATCATGTTAAGCGAAATGACTCAGAAAGAAAGGGATAGACATAGAAAGATTACATTCATCTGGGGAACATAAAGTAACAAAATAGGAAACTAACACCCAAGTATGGCAGAGATTAGTACCAGGAATTTTACTCAATGATCCGGAGGACAACCACACATGTTAGGGGAAAAGGGAGCTCAGAAAGAGAAGGGAACACCAAATAAAGGGTGTTGGGAGGATCCGCCCACGATGGGAGAGCATGCTGAGGGTAGACTATCGACCAAACATGATTGCCACTCAATGCCTCTTTTGAAAACCATAGCACTCAAAAGGAGAGAGAGGGAAATGCCCTGCCACAGAGGCAGGGTGGGATGGGGGCTGGGGGGTGGAAGGGATACTGGGATCCGTGGTGGTGGGAAATGGGCACTGGTGGAGGGATGGGTGTTTGATCATTGTATAATCGAAACCCAAGCACAAAAATGTGTAAGTCTACAACTGTACCTCATGATATCTCACTATTAAAAAATAAATAAATTTTTTAAAAATTTAAAAAAAACAAAAATAAATAAATAAATCTCTCTCCCCTAATTTACTCAGTTCAATAAACATCAGACAAATTGCTCTTTTGAATTTATATTTGGGAAGATCCAAAAGTTCTGATGTACTTGAGGATTTCCCTGGACTTCTGTCCCATATATTGATATATGGATTTCACCTTTTATTATTTCTGATATTTTTATGAATCCTAATGATGAAGCCTGAACTTCAGGTGATCTGAGCAGCAACCCAGCTGCTCCTGTTCTCACTATAAGGTAATGCCTATGACTCTACTGATTTCTGACCACCACTAAAATCTTACATTTATAATACTTGTGAGATCAATCTGGTGCCTATGCCTATGATTTGGGTTCATCTGGATGGCAAAAGGGCATTTGTGGTACCAGTGCTCTGTAGCTTCTGTAACAGTCTAGTTGGCCTGAATTTTTTCTTTTTGTCAAGAAAACACTCAGACTGCATCCTCTCCTTCTCCCTCTTCCAAGAGAAGAGAAGAATCATCATCAATGGTAAAGGGGAGTTGCAAAAGCAACACCTAGAACAGGTTCTAGGCTCAGTAGATGATCCTCTGGCTCCTTCTCATGGTTTTGGGTGCTCCACAGAATCAGAGAAACTTCTCTAGTAATGAACTATAGAAATGATCCCTGAAAGTATATTCTTTGGTCTGAATTCTTGCACGTGGTTTACAGTTGCTGTTGTTTGGCAGTTGATGTGACATCCCAGTTCAAATAACTTGAGCAATGACTGGAGATTGTTATCACATGTACTCAAAAACATATGTTCAGGGAGCTGAAGAGATAGTACAGTGGGTAAGGTGCTTGCCTTTCATGCATCCAACCCAGGTTCAATCCCCAGAATCTTATATGGTCCCCCTAGCACTGCCAGGAGAAATTCCTAAGCACAGAGCCAGAAGTAATCCCTGTGCATAGCTGGGTGTGGCCCAACAGCAAAACAAAACAAAAATATGTTCAGTAACCTTGTCTTTATACTTACTTATTGTGGGAAGTTGGGGTAGGAGAGAGATTTTGCCCTTGCCAGTACAAGTCTCCAGGTGACTGTTCCACACCAGACTGATGGGTGGAATTCACTTCTGATGGGGTGTCTGCTACCTGCTGTGCATCTGAGATGGCAGCTCCCACTTGATTTGTCAGGAATATATTCTTCTCCCAACTCTATTCTGAAAACAACTGCACCCTGTTTTGTGCATTTTCCATAGCCTAGTCTTTTTTTTGACATGGTGAGTACAAATGCAAACCTGAATCTTTTGGGATCCTGTCCTATGACTAGGTTGAAGATTAAATCTTGTGTGTTCACTTTGGGTGAACTTCCTTTGGGTATGAGCTGGTGCATTACAAACCTTTTGGACTGTCATCTAGAACCTGCAGGGGTGCAGAGGGTGGTATCTGAGGCTATACCTATGTAAGGACAGGGCGAAGAGTGAGACTGTTGAGGTGGAGCTATAACTGTGACTGTCACTGGGCAGAGTTGAGGCCAAGAGCTGAGCTGTGACAACCTCTAGAAAGACTACCCCCAGCCTGAATACAAAGAAAAAAAGAAAAAGAAAAACACTCAATTGAGAATTCTATACTTAGCCCAACCATCCTTCCAAAAAAAAAAAAAGGCAGAACAAATAAAGTCCACAAAGACTTGAGATAATATATAGGACTAAATTATCCCAGCATACCTACCTTATAATAAATACCAAGCACAAGCAAGTAAAAAGGAAGTGACACAAAAATTCAAATCTATAGTGAGAAATAAAGAATGCTGAAAATGAAAATATGTGAATTAGAACTAAAATGCTGTAGGTCACTTCCTGTTTCCTTCCCAGCATGTAAGAAACTAGAAATTCTCTTTCCATCTTGACATGTAACAAAATCATGCAATTTGCCACGACTTGGATATAATTAGGAGATATTGTGCTGAGTGAAGTTGGTAAGAAGGAAAGGAAGGATAAGATACAAAATGACCTCTCTCATATGTGGGACTTAAAGATACACAGCAAGTTTGCAGCAACGGGTAAAGATAACACAACAGGACAACTGTCCTATACAACTGAGTTTGGAGGATGTTTAAAGGAAGGGGAATAGGGATACTTGTGGGTAAGGAGATGGGTACACTGGTAATGTGTATAGTGTTGAAATTATGTTCACGGAAAACTGTCATTAACAGTATTGTAAATTATAGAACCTCAGTCAATGTCTAATATTTACTAAGCACTCATTATGTTTCAAGAATAATATTCTCATTATCCCCTAACCGTCTTACACATCAGATGACAATTTCCTTTTTACATGTGAGGGAAGTGGGACTTAAAGAAGATGAAGTTTCCCATAATCACCCACCCAGGAAGACCCAATGATAAAACTGGGATGTGGGGGCTGGAGCAATAGCACAGGGGGTAGGGCATTTGCTTTGCATGCAGCCGACCTGGGTTTGATTCCCAGCATCCCATATGGTCCCCCGAGCACTGCCAGGAGTAATTCCTGAGTGCATGAGCTGGGAGTAACCCCTGTGTATCACCGCGTGTGACCCAAAAAGGAAAAAAAAAACTGGGCTGTGTCTACCCCAAGAACATTGCTGATTAAGTGTCAACAAAGTCCCCAAATTCCTCAGAGGAACTCCCAGAAGACATTCACAGAGCCCAGGACAAAGATAAGGTCAGGGGGAAACTGTTAAGGCCAGGTGAGCAGCAGACACCACTCAGGGACAGACTTTGCCTCCAAGTAGCAGAGTCCTGACCACTCAGTATCTAATACTAACTGTTAAGTGAAAAAGGTTCAGTGATTTTAGACTTCAGCATTTAAAAAAATGTGATGAGAGGTATAGTTTGTCAGAATTCTTAGGTCCCCTGCTCCAGGAATTCTAATTAAATGGTTCTGCTGAAGGACCCCCTCCAGCCCCCCAAAAATTCTCAATTTTATAAAATGTATCAGGAAACGCCCAAGTTGCCTAGTCACAGAACATGCAAATGACCATCAAGAACAGCCAGGTTTTAATTTAAAGTCCTTCCCTGAGGAACAATGTACAACCCAACCCTAAAAATAAGAATATATAGAATACTATTTCCGAAAAGCAAAAAAGAACAATGAACATGTGGTTAACAGAACTGAAGGGAAATGGTTCCTTGTGTTGTGGAACTTTGTGAAAATTGCTCTTACTCCAAAATCAGTGCTGGGTCCTTATCTTTTCAGTTATCCGAGAAGCTGAGCCTTGCTCACCCTGGGTTGTGCAGACCCCCACCCCCCTCCCTCGTGGACCAGCCTCATCTTCACATTCCAAACCTAACTCTTGTGATTCTGGCTCCCAGTCAACTTAATCCTTTTGCTAATAATCTCATGATCTGTAAATTTGTCAGAAAACGAAGATACATTCCTGCAGTTGTATGTTGGATCCAATTAAACCAGGTAAACTTGTAGTTCAGTGAAAGGGAATAATTCCTATAGTTGTGGACTGCGCATGAAACCTTATCATTACCTGCACGTAAACCACAGGGACCACAAGAAAACGAAATAATTCTTAAGTACTGTTGTAGACAGCGCAATATTGGAGAGTAGTACACAGACCCATTCCATAAGGTCATCATACTCCACCCTAACACTATTTTTCCCCTCTCAAATCCCCAAAAGATCCTCCATATTTTATGAGCCGGTGGAACTGGGGCGTAGGTGGGATTCAAGTCCTCCCGCGTCGTCGGAGTCCAAGAAGATGGCAGGGCACTTCCGGGACAAGGTCTCGCGAGAGGTGGGGCGCATCTCTGTCCTGGGACCGCGTTCCACTCCGGGATTTGAAGCTGAATCTGTTTTCCGATTCCTCTCCTCCTCCTAGGCCCACTCAGGGGGCGGAAGCCAACACCTGGCACCGGAAGCCAAGTGCTGCTCGGACGCTCTAGAGTCCTGCCACCGCCTCCGCCTACAGAGACGAGCATCGGCGTCGGACGGAGGCGGGAACTGTGCAGCCCGCGTCGGGACGCTCCACAGGAAGGGGCGGGGCTTAGCCTGACAGCGACTTCGGTGCCACTGACTTCATTCACTGCACGTCCCGGGCGTCTGGTCTCACGTGAAGAGCCTGGTTGCAGAGCATGAGGCCAGTCGACACTCAGAACCCAGGCGCTGCACTCCAGAGAGGAGCCCCTCCAGGCCTCTGAGGCCTTGCTCAGGGGTCCAGAACTCCTCGATCTCCTGCACCCCCGCCGCCTCCACTTCGTGCCCTGCGTGCTGCCTGACAGGAGCTGTGCGCCCCAGGAACCCGTCCCTCCAGTTCTCTGTCACTTGCCAGGAGCACCAGCTTCACCCGGGTCATGGGCAGCCCGCAGCACAGCCCCAGCGCTGACCCTGCACCCTGCTGGGGAGCTCAGTCGTCTGGGCGCCGACCTGCCAAGCACCCAAGATGTCAGGAGCCGAGCTTACAAGGCCTCGCTGGACCCCTGGCTGCTGGTCCTCTCATCTCCGTGCTGCTCCTGGCCGAGGACTCGGCCCTGCAGGTACTCCTAGAGGACTTCGACTTGGTGCTGGAGCCCCAGCCCACAGAAGCCCTGCGAGTGTGTCTCCCGGGGCACACCATCATCCTGGTCCCAGAGGCCCTAGTGCGCTGGGCTGAACACGAAGTGAGGGGCCACCAGGGCCACTTGCCAGATAACCTAGACCCCCGCGCTTTCCTGGGCACTAATGGGGAGGTCGTGGCCGTCCAAGTGGGAGCCTTCCATGCCCGTTTTCCTGAGGAGCCCCCAGCCCCGCCTCAAAGCCCCATCCCGCATCCTGGGCCCCGGGCCCCCATCCCAGGTCCTCACAGGAGCCCTGAAGGCCCCTACTTCAGTCTGCGCTTACATCTGCTTCAGTCCTGCCTCAACTCAGCGCTCCAGCCCCTGCCTGCTTCTCCCAGTCCAGGGGCCCAAGAGCGCCCCATGAGTTTTCCAGGTCGTCCTCGCTGCAAAGCCCGCAGGCGCCTCTTCTAGGAATAAACCGACTCCAGTCATCCTCACCGCCAGGCTGGGAACTACGAGACCCTTCTCCTGTATAGTAGCAGGATGTACCTTTCCAAAGATGCAACTTTGGAGACCGGGCAGATAACTTGCCTGCGTGCATGCGTGCGTGCGTGTGTTATCAGGCAGCGCTGCAGACTCGTTCAGTTGGGCCGAGTAAAACAATGGCAAGAAGATGATGTGGGCAAACCAATGCTGCTGACAATTCTGGATGGCAGAAAAACAAAAACAAAATTGCTGTTTAGGCAATGTTCCTCTAGAGAGGGAACATTTTGGGGCAGCTCTAAAACCCCGAGTTTTACTTCAAACCTCAGGACCAGCACTTTTTTTTTTCTGAAATTCTCCTCTTTCCCCAGCACTTTACTAATGCATCCCTTCTGAATTAGAGTCAATATTATATGTATTTTAGTGATCTCTGCTGAGGCCTCAGGATAGTTTATAATATCCAAACCACTTTGACCTCTTTATGGTAGTTCCAACCACCTTTAGGGACCTCGCAAATATTGTATTGTGGACAAATGTTTGTTGGATACAAAATAAACTTGGCAATGAACATGTACCCTTATGTCTCAATCTATGTCTCTGTCAACCTATGTCTCAGTCAAACACTTGGTTTGATTAAGCAGCTAAATATGTATGTAATTGGGGTTTTTTCCCCAAAAGGAACTAGCTCTTTTCC